AAGATTTCTAAAGAAGGCCTGTATCTCCCCTGTGGCCAGCCACTTCTTATTTTTTTTTTTTTTTTTTTTGGGAGGGGGGGTGTTGCTGGAGATTGGCCCCCCAGCCTCATTCAGGTGAAACACAAGCTGAGCAAATGCTGTACCACTGAGCTGTTTTCTAGTGTGGCATCCTGAGTAGGCTCGGAGCAGTGACTACAGACTACAGAGGAGTACATGGCTAGTAGGGGTTTATGTGTATGTACCTAAAGCCCTAGGGATGGGAAAGCTGGAGGTGGGTCCAAGTGCCGTGGGCCCAGTTTCAAATTTAGTTACAGATAGGGCCAGGACTGAGAAATGAGCTCATCTGGAGCCAGGGGAGGCAGGACCAAATGTGTACTGTCTCCTGGCTCCAACCTCACCTGGCACGGTTTCCCTTGACAGGTCTCACTAGTCATCGGAGACATACTGAAAGGTACCAGTGGCTTTGATGTTTCAACCTTGCCCCAAACTGTTAATTTCATAACATTATTTAAAGTCATTTACAAGTAAGTACAACAATAAAGTTTTAATAGAATAGCTTTGGCCCAGACAGCAGCAGTTCCCAGGCGTCTCATGATCCATGTGAGCTTCAGGAAGCCGGGAGCATTAGCTGGGGCCCAGGGAATCTCCTCGGAGAGCATGAAGGGGTGGTCCCTGGCTCCAGCACTTGCCTGCCCGCCCACCAGCAGCAAAACCATGGTCTCAGGCTCAGCGCTGCTGCTCACGCGGACCCCCTAGGTGCACGTCAGTGTAGAAGAGACGCGGGGCAGGAACTAGGGCCTCTGGAGAGAAGAGCCCAGAAATCCTTTTACCTGTGGAAAGCCACTAATCCGGCTGGGCGGGGGCAGAGCATCAACCTCCCAGGCACTAATCTGGGTAGGATGGATGCAGCGGGCTATACGCCCTCCCGAACCAGTGTCTCGCCACAGCACATGGGACCTGGCACCTGGGTCCCGTTCGACCTTCCCCGTCCGCGCCCTGTGGCGCGGGTGGGTTCTGGGCCCGGCGGAGGGCGTGGCCTCCCCGCTGCCTCCATCTCATCCAGTCTGCATGCCCTTTGCGCTCTGTGCATAGGTCAGACACGAGATAGTGCCGGATTCCGCCCCCAAGACTGGCGACCTTGGTCCCGGGGGCCCGCTCACCTGACGCTCCCGCGACGCGCGGCTCCCCGCGGTGCCAGTGACAGCCGGGCTGGAGCAGCTACCCGGAGGGGAGGGGAGGGCGCGCACGCGCACCGGGGCCCCGCCCGCCGCCCGGGGCTGACGTCGCCGGCGCAAGCCAATCGCTAGAGCTTGGGGAGGCTAGCGGGGTGTGTGTGTGACTGGCGAGCTCCGAGTCAGAACTGCTGGGCCGAAGTCAACAGTGGGGCCAAGTCAAAGGTAAGGGCCAGGCGGCGGCCCCGCCAGCGCACGTGCGAGGGCAGCGTGGGGTCGCCGGGCGGGTACTCAAAGTGGGCGCTGAGCTCGAAGGCCAGGGCTGAGCGCACCAGACCTACGCCGCCCGCGCACTCCGGGGCCGGGTGGTACAGGCGCCCGTTGGCCGCCAGGGGCAGCAGGCGCGCTGGCTCGAAGGGCACGACCAGAGCTTTGCCCCCGCCGCAGTAGGACAGGCGAGAAGACCCGTCGCCCTCTGTCAGCAGGTGTGTGAAGACCACCGGTCGATCCTCGCAGCGTAAGAAGTTGCGCTCTCGGCCACAAGGCGAGAGGAAGGGGAAGGAGGCCTCATAGCGCCCGCTGTGATTTGGTCTCAGGCGGGAGAAGAAGGTGACCAGGAACTGCAGGTCTAGGGGAATACAAGGTGCAGGTGCTCACCACGCGGGCTCCACGGGCCCGCCGCCCAGGTGCTGCGCCCTGCGGCTGCAGTGAGGCCGCCGGGCGCCCCGAGGGCCGAAGGAAGAGGCGCAGCCATACCTTTGAAGCAGGTGATGAAGTTCTTCATTTTGGAATCATCCAGAAAGAGCTGCAGAGCAGAAGGCAGTGGACAATGAGTCCCAGCGGGCAGGCCCATGCCTGTGTCTGCTGTCTTTGTTTCTCTGTGCACACAATGTGTAAATCTGGGGTATTCGCCGGGGGCGGTGGCTCACGCTTGTAATCTCAGCACTTTGGAGGTTGAGGCAGGAGGACTGTAGCGAGTTCAAGGCCAGTTTGGGCTACATAGGTAGTTCAAGGCCAGCCTGAACTATATAGCGAGACCCTGTCTTAAAAAAAAAAAAAAAAAAAAAAAAATCTAGGGCCGGGGAGATAGCTCAGTAGAATAAGTGCTTACTGGCAAACGCAGGGTCCCGAGTTCAATCCCCGGTACCGAGAAAAAAAAAATCTAGGGGATTCTACACGCACTTTCCTGCGGATTCGCTGGGCTGACAGCTCTTTCTCTTCTTTCAAATTTTTTTAATCAAACTCGCAGTTATTCTGCTCTCAGCCTTGTGAGTTCTGGGGTTACAGGCATGCGCCACTATGCCTAGCTTCAAGTTTCTAATTAAGATACACTATTTCCGTTGAGGTTACCTGGCCTGTTCCCTCATATATGCTGGGGAATCTGGGCAGGGCTCCTAAAATAGGCAGTCGCCCACTGTCTTCAGCCCCAGGTCTCGGGGACGTGCCCGGTGTGGCAGGAGGGCTTTGGTATGACCAGCCTGCGGCTGAGGTTCGTCAGAGAGCTTTAGTGGACGCCTGGCCTCGTTCCCTCTGCCTCCGCCCCAAACCCAGCGAACCACCCGTCCTCCACTCCGACCTGGCCCTGATGATCCAAGTAGTAAAAGTACTCGCGGGTCCGGGGTTCTGGGCTCTGGCCCTGCGTGTAGGCGACATCCCTTTCCCTGATACAGGTCCGAACTCCCTGTGACCGTGCCAAGGCAAGGGACAAGGACAGGCCCCGAAGGGTCCCGCAGTGCGGCAGCCACATCCTTCCGTGTCGGAAGCTGTAAGCCGGTCAGCTGGGATGTGGTGCTGCACGAATAAGTGTCCCCCACTTCACCAGTCCTGTGCGCTTTCAGTTCCGGCCCCTAGGGGGCAGCCGCGCCCCACCTGACCTGCGAGCCCCAAAAAGGAACGCGAGCAGCAGGCAGCGGGCCGAGTATCCACACGAACTTTATTCACGATGCGCCAGAGCGAGCGCCAGCGCCGAGCCGCCTGGAGAAGTCAAGACTCCCCGGAAGGAGGACCCCGCCTTAGGGGACGCGGCGGACTGGGCTTGTTTTTAATAAATAAAAACTCTAAAAATATATATATAAAAACAGGAGAAATGAAGTTTGACAACAGCTGAAGGAATTCTGATTCCAGGTGGAAACCGTAACCGACACGGGGCTGGTCGAGGCCACAGGGTGGCGACCCAAGGTTGTGCCCAAAGGGAACAGCGTCGGATTAGATTGTGTCTTTTAGCAAACAAAACGTTGTCCTGGCTTCTGTCGCTCTGTTTATATTCTATGCACAGGCTCCAGATTCTTAGGTACCCCAAGAAAAAATTCTCTCGCCCCTGTCTGCCAGCCCCGCGCCCGGGAAGAGGAGGGCAGTGTGCTGGGCACCGGGAACAGAAGGCACTTCTCGGGGCAAGGTGGCGCGGCCCCGGCCTGGCTGCTCCTGGTTTGCAGCGGGGCCCCATGCTGCCCCGGCTCGCGCTATAGCACACCCTCCATGAAGCTGGTGTCCAGGTGCTGGATTAGTACACGCAGGAAAGACATCTCCTTGCGCGTGTTCTCGAAGATGATGCGTGGGTCGTCTGACTGGCAGCGTAGGCAGTTGGGTGCCATCACCATGGCGAGGTTGCTGACGTCCATCTTGGTGATGGCCACATTGGCGGGCTGCACAAACACCTGTGCAAAGGGTGAGGCGGAGGGTGGATGAAGCAGTGGGTGGGGCGGGGCAGAGGGCAGGTGGGGCAGGGCATACCTGGAGGAATCGGATGAGGTAGCACAGCACCATGCGGTTGATGCGAGGCAGTGCATGTACCACCGCCACTGCGGCTTCTGGGCTCTCGTAGTGCGCGATGCACTGCTCGTAGAACTCATGCGGGATCAAGGGCTCCTCCAGTTCCCGATACCACAGCTTCAGCAGCGATGCTGTGGATGGGTGAGGCTCAGAGAGGCCTGCTCTGGGACACCAGGGCAGAGCAGTCCACTGGGCCACACCCAGGAGTATAGGGAGGGTTCTCCAGAAAAGGGCCCCCTGGCCTTGCCTCAATCCTAGGGGCACCGGGGTGTGTGTGTGTGTGTGTGTGTGTGTGTGTGTATGATGCTCCAGTGAATAGTTTCTAGCAGCGTTGTGTAGCTGCTACAGGACTCCACCCCCCCCCCATTCCCATGACACAGGCTATTCCATTCTGCACGGGAGCTGAACTGGGGTGCCCTAGGGCAGAAGGTTGCCTGAAGTGGGTGAGTTGGCCAGGGTGCCACAGAAAGAGAGGTCAGAGTGTCATGAGATGGAGCCACAGCAGGCCTGGACAGAGACAAGACAGTGTGGCTGCTGCAAGTGTGAGTGGCCATCTCCCTTCTAGGTAGTGCATGTAGGCCAGCACCTATGGAACCTTCTAGGCCCCATGGCCTGTGTCAGTGCTCACCAGGGACGTGGGGATCCTCCAGGCCTGTAGGCACCTTCCACTGATCCACCTGCAGCTTCAGGGCATTCACCTCATCAATGTCCCCAGGAACCCTGGGCAGCACAGGGCAGGTCTTAGTTGAGCGAGCTTGGCCTGCCCAGGTGCCCAGGGGTGGGGTGATACAGGTCCTTAAGGCTTCTCCACCCAGTTACCTCTCTCCCTGGGGTATGTGATTTTGGGTTTCACTTCCTTTTTTGTTTTTGTTTTTGTTTTTTTGGTTTTTTTTTGGTACCTGGGGTCAAACTCACAACCTTGCTCTTATCAGGCAAGTGCTTATATCACTGAACTATCTCCCCAGTCCTGTGTCCCTGTCCCATGCACATGATCTGTGGTATGAAGTCCTTCCAGGCCACCATCCCGTCCTGAACCTTCTGCAGGACCACTAAGGTCCAAATGTGCAACCCTCAGCTTCTCTTGCATACTTTGGGGGACCTGGATGTCCTAGCTCTGACAAGTGAGTCATAACTGTAACACCACAGGCAAGTGCCACCTGCAGGCAAGGGACTGTCACATCCCTGTTCAGAGATGTGATGTGAGTTGGGGTTGCCAAGCTGTCTGGCTGAATGCTGCACCTGGTCAACTGCATGTCATCTCAAACTCAGGTCTCAGGCACTGGTTTTGGCTGTCTTCCAAGCAACCTCAGGACCCTAGTGGCCATTTCTGCAGACACCATGCCTGGCTGGTTCTGCTGCTGTAATGGAGGGAGAGGATACCCAGAAGACCTGCCTCTCAAGGACATAAACCTAGATCAAGATCACGAGATAGCCCACCTTTCCGTCTATTCCAAAGCAGGCTCAAGTGGGTCTGACTCAGTGGTTCCTGCCTGCCAGATATGCATGGTAGATACAGGCTTAGGGCCCCCATACCCAGGGCCCGGGATTGGCATGGCACCTGAAGATGCCCTCCGTCTGGTCACCATTGAGTGCCAGCACCTCCTCGGAGAGCCGCGTTTGTACCCAAGGCAGCTGCCTGTCAGGGTAGCGCTCCTTCTGCATGTTCATGATCTCTTGCAGTGAGCTGCCAAACATAGATGGACTGAACACAGCGTTCTTGGCATGCCGGATCTCCTCTACGTTGGGCTTCTTCAGCCCCTGTGAAGACAACCACTCTCCTGTCCTGGTCTGGCTTGGCCTTTTTCTTCCCAATTCTCCATAGATTTCCCAATCAGTGCCATCCCCTGATGCCCAGCTGGAGTTACCAAGGTGGCCTCCTTTCAGGCCATCACAGCACCTAAAGATTTAAGTTCCCATAGGCTATGTGGGGAGATGGGACTCCTCCTGGGTGGGCCAGTCTGGGTGGTCAGGGACACAGGGGCCTGGGCTAGTGGACCTGTGATGGGGCAACGTAGCAAAAGGGAGAGCAAGTGAAGCAGACAGGCCAGGTGCTGGGACAGGTACATGGGGCCCAAGGGAATTCCTGGATGGAGGTAGATGATAGGGAAGAAAAATGGGATCAAAACCAGGGAATGAGATCCTTCAGAGCAGAGGCCAGAACTAGAAGGGGGTTCATGGAGGATGCTGACATTGCAAGCATGGGCTCCCTGGGACTGCAGCGGCTCATGCTCTTTGGGGACTCCCCTGTAGCCTGAGATTGCCAGGGAAGAGGGTCCTCTCCAGGGGAAGGTCTCTACCCTGGCTGTGTCTGGCCCTGGCATCTGGCCATACTCGCTGGGGTCTTAGCCCAGTGGGGTCTCTCCTCCATGGCTCTGTACATCATGCACAAGGGCAGGCTGGGTATAGCCAGGAGGCTGGCCACCTAACCAAGGTGGTCTGCTGGACACCTTGTCCTCTCCCACTCCCCCTTTTTGCCTGCACTGAACATGAAATGGGTGTCCCAGTGCAGGAGAACATAAATTCCCAGAGGCCTTCCTGGCCAGCCACCTAGTTGGGCCCTGGGCCCCTCATATTCTGCCAGCCAGCACTCCCAAGCCTTAGTGCCACCCCGCCTTGGTGCTCCCAGAAGTGCCTGTACCTTCTTGGCCCCTGTCAGGGCCGCCTTCTGCAGCTTGTGGTAACAGTACTTGGCATAGGTGCTTATCGCCACCCCTGGAAAAGAATGGGTGTTGGTCAGCCTGATGCAGACGAGCAGCTGCAGGGACTAAAGCTGGGGGTGGGGGTGAGGCAAGGAAGGGCAGCTTCTGCAAAGAGGGGTCCTACTATATGACTGGGGAGACTCATGTCCACTCTTGACCAGGGGAGTGGTCCTCACTCTCCTAGGCAGTGTGTTTCAGAGCAGAGACCCATTCAAACAAAAAACAGGTGCTTCCATACCTGTTTGGTATGGGCCAGGCTAGGGAAGGAAACCCTGTGACAGCCCACCTACCCCTTGACCAGGAGGGGGCAAAGGATTTCTAAGAACCAATAGCAGGTCAGGACATGACCTGGGTCCAAAGGCCTCCAAATCTCACTCCCTACTCCAGCTGGCCCTAAGGAGCCCTACCTGGGAATGGGGATGGGGGTCAGGAAGACAGGTCCAAAGCCTGGTCCATAGTTGAGCGGAAAGGAACAGTGCAGGGCAGATGCCAGCATCCCAACACAGCACCCTCCCCAGGAGGGCAAGGTGGAGGCAGGGCCACCTTGTGGCTCCTTCCTCAAAGGTAGGGCTTGTGGCCTCTCTGTGGTTCAGAGCCCCAAGCTGAGGTTCCAGAAATGGCCCTGGAGGGCAAGGCAGGTGTTAGAAAGGGCATGCTACTGAGGTCTGGCCCTGTGCGGTGCCCTCCTGGCCCAGGTAGGAAAGAAGAGGGTGGCAGACAAGAGCACATAATAAGAGAAGCGGTCAGGGTCGGACAGGTGCCCTGGATGGGGTGTTTCTGGGCATGCCCTGACCCCACCCCTATAGAAGCCACTGCCTGCTAACCCAAATGCCTGCCAACTCTCAGACAGGAATCTTTTTGCCTTCTTTGAAAGGAGGCAGTTTCTTATGAATGTCTGAGGACACGAGGAAGCTTGGACTCTAGTTCAAAATTGAATGTCTTAGTCCATGAAAACATTTCGAGTTATAAAATGGTTGCCACTGTATCCATAATGGGGATTGTTTAATAAACAAAACAAAACACAAAACAAACTTTTCACAGACGTTTAAATCCTGGACACAGATGCAGGTTCCTAGAGACCCACAGACCCTGGCAGAAGGCCTTGGTTCCAGACCAGCTCAGTCGGCTCCAGACGGTGCCAGAACCTTCCACCATGGGCCATTCTGCCCTACTCGGCACCTCTGAGGCTCCCTTGTTTTGGAGACTGTATGACACATACAGAGGAATGTGGGCCCCAGCCTGCCATTCACAGCACAGAGCAGGCAAGCTCTGCACTGCTTCTCTCTGGTTCAGTTCAGTGGCTGGAGTCTACTGGCACTCCAGGAAGGGACTGAGCTGCTGCTTCCTGTCCCTGGGGGAAGACAAGCCCACACAGCCATGCATGGCCATCCCCGGGGGCCAAAACTCAGGCCTTCTGCCTATTCCTGCTGACTGTAAAACAACATCCTGGGGCTACAGCTTCTAGGCTAGTGGTCTGGGGCACAAGAAACCTCTGCCTGTTTCTTCCTCTGTGGGATGTGGACAGGGACACCTGTCTCATGAGTAAGCTGGGAGCTGATACCAGACAAGCTGCTGGCATCACAGTTGTGGGGTTGAGGAAGGACTGAGCCAACTCCACATGTGCCCCAGGGGCTAGGAAGCTGGGGTGACTTCTGTTTTCTGTTGAGCACCTTCAGTGCAAAAGGCAGTGCCCAGGCCCAGTCCAGGAAAAAGTTACTCATGTGAGATGCCCACCTTGGACTTCAGCTAAGGGTCAGTCTGGTTTCATGGCAGAGACTACTACACACAGAGGGGCTGACAAAGCAGCTCTCCATGGTCCCTGCTGCTGTGCCAGATCCTGACTATGAGGCTTTGTGGGGCTCACCTTGCTGTCCAGGTGGACTGCAAGGTCCTGCTAGTTCTACTTAGGCCCATAGCCTTGCTACAGCAACAAGATTAATGGATAGCTGTGGCTGTCTAGCTCCCAGGCACCAGTGGTTGGCTCAGGCAGGAGCTCAGAGCTCCTTCCACTGTTGTCCCAGAGTGATCTGAAGTTGACCATGGCCTGGAACCTCACCCTGGACTGCAGGACCCGACACAAACCTACTGAGGGTATCCTTAGAGACCAAATGTCCAGCCCTGCAGATACCAACCTGGCCTGTTGGCCTAAGAGTTTGTTCTAAGCTGGCCTCATCTGCAGAAAGCTCCTTATCCTAGTGTTAGGTCCCCATGGGCAGTAAGTCATCTGAAAGGGCTTTCCAGTGGGGAGCAGAACAAGAGCAGGAGGGCGTTCCAGGGAGGCCAGTGTGAGCCCTGTGAGGCGGAAGCAGCTCTGCACAGAGGCGGCACAGGAGGACCAGAGCAGATGCAGGAGTGGGGTGAGAGCCTTGGGAGCTGACCTGGTGCCCAGTGGGCAGGCTGGTACTGGGCCAGGGCCCGGGCAAGTACAGGACGGATGCTGGTACAGGGTGGGAAGATCCCAGACTCCACGTGGTCTTGCTGGGGAGCCAGTGCTGCAGGGAGATTGCTTGGTGACTTCTGAATAACAAGCATGGCTCTCTGACTGCAGGACAAAGCTATGAAGACCCTTGCAATAGGATGCCCTGATACTCACCTGTGGGTGCCTCTGGGTCTTGGGCAGCTGGTCCTTATGCCTCCTGCCCACAAAGAACTTAACATGTTGGGAACTGCTCTGGGTACCCCCAAGAAAGGTGGAGTATCCTGTCAGCCACCAGGGCCTCCAGGCTCAGGAGGTTGCAGGCCTGAGGTTAGTGCCCCTCCCCGGCCCAGAAGTGGTTAGAGAAGAGGCCAGGCGGCCGTGGCGGGAGAGCAGAATGGTGCAGAGGCAGCGCCAGGCTGCAGAGGCCCTACCATCCAGCTCTTCAACATAAGGCTTGGGTTTCTTTCTCAATTTGGACTTCTTCTTAGTGTTTCTTTCCAGGAGCTCTTTTATGTGCTGTGTCACTGGAGAGCAAATAGAACCATGAGGACCACAGAACACACGCCAGGAGCCAACGCCCATGTGGCTTCCACATGTGGTGGAGAGGAAGCCCCTGGCCCTGCAGGCGCTGTGCCCATCCAGCACGGGACTAAGCAAGTCTGGAGTAAGCATGTACAGGTGTGCACATAGGCTGCATGAGGTGTCAGGGCACTTCCAACATGTTGTGACCGGAAGGCCAGTCCCTTCACTTGGGCATACCTTGGTATGACTCCTGCGCTGCACATAACTTGCTGCAGTTTCCAGTGACCTTGGTCATCTGGCAAAGGTGACTCCTGTCAGGTTTCTGGACTGTGACTTTACTCTCCCCTTTCCATGATGGGCAAGGGAGTCTTACGTAAGGAGTGGGTCAAGGTAATAGATACTTGTTATGCTTTGGGTTATGACCCCATGTGACAGTGCCCCAGCCCCATCATCTCCCCCTCCCACCTCCCTGCCTGCTCACTTCTACCCCTATATCTTTGTGGTTGTTGTTAAGACAGGTTTTGCTTCTGGGCTGCCCTCAAACTCAGGGCAATTCTTCTGCCTCAGCCTCCCAAGTGCTGGGATTACAGGCATGCACCACCAGGTCTGGCTTTCTTCCACTAAAGGCCTGCCACTTTCTCAAGAACTGTGGATCCTTGTAGTGAAAATTATATTTAAAATCTAAGATCTAGGTGTTAGGTGTGCTTGTTGCTACTGGGAAGTCCCTTCTTCAGGTCTTTCACCTGACAAAGCAAGGAAAAATATGTGTCTGTTAACACCTGCATAGACACACACCTATAAATGTTTGTGTATTCACTGTATCTATAGTAAACTATGAACTTATCCTGAAGCCTCCAACTTCAATTCATTACCAGTGATCATTCTGGCTCTTGCTCTTTGCTTGTCTGGCTTCTGTCTATGTCCATGTCTATCTATCATTCTTTCCCTGCCCCACTACTGAGCACTGCACCTACAGCCTCCTGTGCTCTATCCCTGAGCTATATAATCTTAGCCCTCATTCTCTTAACAACATCCTTGGAGATTAAATTGTGTCTTGCTACATAGTTCAGGCTGGTCTTGAACTCACTATACAGCCCAGACTGGCCTGAAGCTGGCAGCAATCCTCCTGCCTTAGCCTCCAAGTGCTGGGATTATAGGTGTGTGCCACCACACCTGGTGGAGATTAAATTTTAATAAAGTCCAATTTATCAAGTATTGTGTTTTTCTTTTATAGAGAATGCTTTTGATATTTCATAAAATATTTTGTCTAACTCAGGTAAACAAAGATTTAATTAATTAATTAATTAATTTGTGTGTGTGTGTGTGTGTGTGTGTGTGTGTGTGGCCAGCTCAGCCCACCAGGGGGCGGG